CGTCAGGGGAAAGCAGGCTCAGGCCCGTCCTGGCAGGAGAAGTGTGTCTCCTCCCATCCTCCCCCCACTGCTGCCTCGCTGGAGGACAGTGCTTCATCTACACGAGCACCCAGAGGGTGGGTGCAAGCCCAATATGTCTTCGGTAACTATACAATAATTTAAAAACAAAACGTCTGGCTGCAGAAGAATTTTTTTTTTTTAATTATATGATGTGATAAAAATATCCCAAATACCATTAATGATACCCCCATGGGACTCTCATTTCTAAGACATAGCGATCCTGGGAACACCTGGGAACGCAGGATATATTTGACACTATTAGCACTGATTCCCACAGCCATCATTTCACTGGAATGCATCCTCAGCACCAAGCGAGGCAATGCTGCAATAAGAGCAAATTACATTAACCCTGGCTGTCCGGTTCATGAAGCAGAGTCTGGCACCTCAACTGCATAGAAGGCACAGTAAACCACATGTTCGCTCACCTGCGAGGAGGCCCGGGGTTAACACCTTCAGACCTTGAATAATGGATTGACCTGTTGGGAAGGATTAATATTAGAAAACTACATTTCCTTTCACGGCTTTTGGACTCGAGACTGTCCCCTGTACTGCCGACGAAGCCACGCTTGGTGGTTTCTGCAGGTATCGCACACCACGGGCCTTCCTGCACGGCGCTGCTGTGTTCAGGTTCAGGTTTTTGCCTCTTTTGCAACGTAGTTTTCTATTATTAATTTGGCAGGTTCCTGATTTCACTGGTGCCTGTTGTACCCTGCAGCTTGGGAGGCTCTGATCTGGGGGTCACCATGCTGCTGTGTATAAAGGGCTTGTCCTCTCGGTTGCACCTACACACTGTCTGTCCTCTGTGTTATAAGGTGTAATGAATAAAAAAAAATGTCTTTTGGTTGTTCGTATCTGTTTCCTGCTCCTTTTTTTTCCCTTACATTCTGCCTCTTGCTGAAGAGCAGTAATATCTGTTTTTACAGAAAATGCATCTTGGTTGAAACGCTCAAAACAAAGCAGGGCATGCTCCCGGTTTGCACTGTTCCACCACATCACTGCTGTCAGTCCGTTAAGTGCCAAGACCAGCCTCTCCGCACTAATAAAGACAACATTGGGTGTGTGGGTGTAGATCTCGCTCTGTGAGGCAAGGACGTCACCCTTCATCTTTCCATTACAACATCCAGTTACTTTCACTGCTGAAGAGCAAGGCAAGGCAAGATCCTTCAAACCACTCTCATTACTGAGGGAATAAAAAATCAATCTCTCTCTCCTGCCTGCAGCTTGCACGCTTTCACGCAGTGCAGACAGTGAGTGAATACCGAGTTGCTCTGGACAATCAAGGAGCAGACAAAGGGCTTCCCTGGCACGGCAGTGTCTGACTACTCCGCTGTGGCTTCGTGCAGATCAGTGGAGCCAGCCAGAAGGCCACAAAACACACCTTGCTTAGAATATTGCGAGATGCAAACTACTAACAAAAAAACGATCCTATTTTTTTTCACCAAAATTCTCAGTGGAGGAAGTCTCTTAGCCCTTTTATTTTTTGAAGTGCCACTGAAAGTCACAAGTGCTTTTACATCAGGAAGTCCTTAAAAATCCTGAGGAAATGCTGCTGTTCCCACGATGCTCTTACATAGGCAATACCATTGCAGACAGTGCAAGACAGCTCTAAAACGGCTGTCATTTGCAGTGGGGAATTTATGCCAATTCAGAGTTCCTTTTTGTTTCTCCAAACACCTGTCAGCTGGACCAGGAGTCTCAAACATGCACTGCGTTGTCACCGGAGCAGCACTCCAAGTGTCATTATTAATTATTTGCTCAGGGGCTGCATGGGATTTCGTGCTGTGATGTTAGAGCTTCCCATTACACAAACAATCCGAGTAAAATACTCATCAGGCTGCCTGTAGTGAAGGTTCACTCTGTCTCCGGCATCCAGACGATTTCAGATCTCTTTTCCATTAGAGAGCTATGATGAGCAATGCACTCTATCATTTTTCAACCACTTCACTTCTTACTGTGTTTTTTAAATCGAGTACTTTGTTGTATATGCTGCCCTACATACTGTATATAGTAATAGTCAGCATCAACAGAAGTGCCTTGTTGCATTTCTGAAGTCTGTTGTTCCAGTAGAACACAGACTAGCGCCGTCTATTGACACAGGCTGCAAAGAAGGCTCCTGTCACTGGGGCTACAGTCACACTGGCCCCCGTAGCATCATCAGTGGGCATCAGACCCCTCTCATGCCTTTCTCAGCTCAGCGAGGACCGGTGAATGGCACCCTGTACGCCTTTTGATTCGGATTTCCTTTCACTTTACAACATTCCTGGTTCTGTGAAAAAAAGCCAGCGTTTGTCAGATTTTCTTTTCCGACGTGCGCACCAATACAGACACTGTTCTTACAAATTCTTCCCAAGATCAGTGATCGCGAAACTCGACAATCACGAATGAACACGAAGTTGTCTTGGGGGCCCCACACTGCTCATTAGGCTGATGGTCCGTCCTGATGGCTGTCCGGGCCAGGCAGCAGTGTGGGGCAGTGCTTTAGGGTGTGGGTTCCAGCCCCAGGTGAGACACTGCTGTTGGACTGTTGATCAAGACACTTCTCCTGAATTGCTCCATTATACAATCTTCATTTGCGTAAAAGGATGCAAATGTAACCTTCTTATATAAAAGCGTTACTTCAATTAGTGGCTCTGCTGATGAGGTTATATTCCACAATCGAGCATTACAGCTCTCGGAGAATAACTCCCTGCTGAAAGGATGCCTTCAATTTGAAGAAAAGATTAAACTCCCTGTTTCACTGTATAGACCATTGAACTGTTTTCTGCCTTGATTATTTTATTATCATGGCTGTAAGTAGGTATCCCATTGCATTGGCACAACCTTGAGATTTTCTTGTAATCAAGAAGAAAAGCGAATTCATGCCTTGTACTTTTTTTTAAAGTTAAAACCCTCGCATCTGACTATGCACATAATTTAAAATAAGGTAAAAAGCGTGGAATACCTACTGTAGCTGTTAGTGGTATCTTTAACACAGTGGCTCATAAGCCTGAAAGGACTCAAGCTACCCAGCAATTTTCTTTTCTTCCCTGTATTAGTGCCTCGAGTTAGATAACAGTCCAAGATTTAAGCATACAGACTCATCATTACACTGGACAATTTGAGCCTCCACACAAGCATTCTCTTCAGTGGGCTCCAGCAGTCCAGTGGCTAAAACCCAGAGCATGTTTCTGAGAGCTTTTCTGTCTCTCAAAGATATCATGGTGACCTTGAGTCCAAGGTCCTCACAAAGTAGGGGTATTTAACTCTTGTGTCCTCACTAAAAAACCCTTTGGCTTGTATAATCTAGCCCACCTGAATTTACCTCTTTATTCAATTAGTGAGGCCTTTTCTCAGTGATGCTCCCGATTAATGTCGTGGGCCTGCTGGCACAGAATAGTTGCCATACATCACCCAGGGGTGACCTACACTTCTGCTGGATCCCCATCTCTTGAGGACCTCCTAATGTGAAGCACTTTGGAATTTTTGGACTCCAAGAGCTATTTAAATGCAGGGAATTATTATTACTATCGATTACGTAAAGCCAAGATTCTATTTTATGTGACTCTGTGGTAGCAAATCATATTATGATGCATCACTCAAGTGTACTGAATTACTGTCGAAGGGCTACTATGACTGGTATTGTACAGAAGCACTCCACTGTCACACTATAGGAGTATCTGCTACTGTGTCTTACACACATCCAACTGAATGACCTGACACCAGACTAGAGACTCATGCTGTGGGGAAGCAGGGGTCTGTGGGATACCAGGAGTCTGGGAACCACATCCATGAAATTCTACTGTGCACTGGGCATCTGATGCAAATGGCAGATTCGTTTTCTGCAAGGCGAATGTTGTACTTTCAATTATTTAAGAAGCAATTACACAAGTGTCCCATCTCTGTGGTTGTGGAGCTGGGTTTTTTTTATGCATTTGCCTTTCTGGGTTATGCCATTTAAAACTTTAACACTGAACATTGGAGGCAAACAAGTTGCTCATCTGCTAGTCAGGAAGAGCAGCGTGGAGCAGTGGTCAGGGCTTTAGTGTCACGACTGAAAGGTGGTGGGTCCAAATCCTGCTCTGACTCTGCTCTTGTACCCTTGAACATACTTCACCTGGATTGTGGCAGTACAATAGCTTGCTGTGTGAATATAAGGCGCTCTTTATGAAAGTGTTGGCAAGTGAATTAATAAAGTAATAAATGCATGTGCATCTAAATGCTTGCTGGTGCGAAAAGGAGGAAGTGATATGAAAGGACCAACCCACAGCCTTAAGAAGGGGTGGACAAGTTAGGCTCGAGGCAAAACAAAGGGCATCCTTTGTGAAAGTAACTGTTAAAGAGGGGTAAGAATATTCTTACTCCCTCCAGAATATTCGCTGCCTCCCTCAGAGTTAGTCCCCAGTGGAATCCTCCTGGAGCTGCTTAGGTTAAAACCCGTAAGAGAGGGCACATTTAAAACAATACATCTCGATTATTGTTCCCTCCGACACAGAAACTGAGAAACTGCAAGCTCCTCTCGAACCCACCCCTGTGCACACGGGTGATCCGGTATCTCTTTCAAAGACCTTTAGATCACAACAAGCACCTGATACTCCAGGCCTGCAGAATAGTTTCTATTCACTTAGAATTTACATTTTGTTACCTGCCCTTTATTCCTTTATCCTGGGTGCGTTTTCTACAGTTACCACTGTGAAGCCATCGTGCCCCTATACATGTCAAAAGGATCTGTTAAAATTGCATCCTCATCCTCGGCGTAATGTCCGATTCATCAGCAGTAATGAGCCACACTGAAATGATTAAAATCATCCCAATGTTTAACCAGCTTCTGCGACTGTAACACCAGACTTTGAAGGCCCACAAACTGCACAGAAAAACAGGCACAATCCCCTCCTTGATCCACTGGGCTTACAAACTGTGCAGGGAGCACCGAGCACATTGCTCAAAGACACAGAGAGCAAGGATACGTACAGTACACAATGGAATTTATTTCTTTGAAAAAATAAAGGAAGCATGCACGATGAACAAATGCAAAATGGAATAAAACATTAAAGTACAATAAAGCTTTCATTAAGAAGAGTGGAAAAAATATTTTCAAAAATCAAATTTTGTTGCTGTCAATTATTTCCGTAAAGCGTTAAATGAGCTACACATTCACTTATTTCAGATTCATTTTCAGTTGGCATACCCAGCAACCAAACATGTCTCATTTCATCCGCTTCACATGTGGCAGGAGACCCACCTTTAATTATCTTGTGTTAATGCTCCCACAGGTGTTCAGCACCTAGCTAGCATGCTGTGGAGGGGGAGGGGCAAGACGGGATATACATTTCCTGAAACAGTTTAGAAAGAAAAATGCAAAAAAAAAAAATGATCAAAAAAAGACACAGGCTTTTCCGAAGAAATGAACCATCAGTGGATTAAAACTCCTCTGTTTAAAATCTTTAGCACTCTCAGACTGTGATGACAAAGCGAATTCACAATTTGTATTTTGGAGTGGGGGAGGAAAGGGTTGAGTTTCATCGTGATACTCATATACTGGCCTGGGGCGCCCTCTAGCGGGCAGAGTTGGAACCACGGGGAAGAATTGAAGCTTCAGGGGACGAGAAAAGGTGCTCACTGTCTACACCCCTCACGCACACATCATATGTAGCATGTATGTAACGTCAAAACTAAACAGGATTTTCAAAGTTGCACAAGAATTCCTTTGTAGGTCGGGTAAAGATTATGCAAGAAAAGGGTTCAGTCTGCAGCATTTGTCAACATTACTGCCATTCAAAAGATACACGCAATATACACACACACATGTATGCAAATACATGCACAGGTTTATATGCAAATAGATATGATTAATAAAAATATATCCTATGCATCATTATTCAGTAAGATTTAAAAATATTACGTGAGATTTAAACATAGATAGAACATACAAAAAGTGTGGTTAATAATGAGTTAAGAAATAATATGGCTGATGTATAAAAATACAGTATAATTACCATGCACTGCTGCAGAGCAAGGAGCTGAGTCTGGACTTGCCTGAAGTCGCCATCATGACACCTTTCTCAATGCATTTAGCCCACTTCACAACATTCCTCTGCGAGTGAGCAATGGCCATGAGCACTAAGCACCGTGTCAATACTTATAACTGTTAACATCTGACGTAGTTTGTCATCAAAGGCTCCAAGTACCATTAATGTACCCTGTCAATTAACCCCCTGCTCACCCAGAACTCCACCTGCACAAGCACTCAGAGCAGTCTGGCACCCAGATGGGCAGTCCTGCCCTCACAAACCCATTAAAATCACTATAAAAATCTTTGGTTAAAAAACACAGAAAGATGGGTCGTGGTTCCTGTTTCCTAGGTCTTTGCTTTAAAAAATTAATGACCATAGGTCGGATTTGGGCTTCTTTGTTCCTGAGCAACATAAGGCGAAAATACGGAGCTCAAACATTAATGAAGAGACAGAAAAGGTCGACACCCAGAGGTGCACGCCGAGATGAGCCCCAGCCGCTGGTGTGAGATCTGGGTTTGGCGGAAGCACCGTCGTCACACGCTCTTTCAGATCAGGATCGATCCCGAGCCGCTCTGCTGTACCCCAACAGACCCTTCTGCTCCGCAGACAGCGGGACAGGGGGGCAGCGCGGGCAGTGCCCGCCAGGCCACGCTGAGAGAGGGGGAACCCGGCCTTGCCCAACGCCCATCGCGCAGCGGAGGGTGCGCCCCCTTCTGTCCCCCCAGGGCGCCGACCAGCTGGGGGAAAGCGCTGGCACTCGTCCGCAAGCGCTCTTGAAGGGAGAGGCACGCCTTCGCGGGCGCGCGAGTGAACCTGGCCTTCGCTCCCCATGGCCAGGAAAGCACCGAGGGTGCACAGAGACCCGGGCGCCACAGCCCCTGCAGCGCAGTCCTGAGCCACACTCGCCAACGCCGGCCTCGCCCGCCCGCTCGCCGGTCTGAACACCGCCCCCTTGTTCCCGACCAGCACCAACGAGCCGGTGATACTGAGCTGCTGCATTGCTGTCCAGGGGAAGTGGGCTCCCCCCCCGGAGGGGCGGTACTATGCCGTGCAGCAAATGGCTGCAGACTGGGGTTCGAGAGGCTCCTCGGACGTGGGTGGTTTCTTAAGCCTTTTTATAGACAAGCGAAAACAAAATTGAAAACCCACTAAAAAAAAAAAAAAAATAGAAAAACACAAAAAACGGAAAGAACACACTGTGCCCAGTATTCTAGTGTACCCGTTATCTGAAGGCAGCAGTGGGGAAAAAAGTCCCAGGACGGCGACCTGTCGGGTGCATCCGCGTTTTCAGCAGAAGCCCCGTCCTGCCGGCTACACCATGAACTGTGTGTATCCCTCTGCCCCGGTCACGATGACGTCCATCCAGATCCGCATGGTCTCTGGAGAGGGCGCCACCATGTAGTACACCCGGTCGTGGGTCTTCACGCTGAACGTCAGGGAAGGATTTGGGCTCTAGGGGAGGAGCAGGACTAGGTCAGCCCACTAGGGGGCAGCAGAGTAACACTCAAGACACTTGCAAGGTTTTAGTGCATCGCTTGCCTTCTGCAACTACTACCAATTTCTTGGGACAGGAGAGGATAATCAATTCTTCAAACATATCCTAACACTCTCAGGGAGATGGAGGTGGCAGCTGTACCACACACGACCTCCAAATGGCAAATTCAGATTCAGCAAAATTATGATTTCATAAAGCAGTAATTACACCACAAAAAAAAAGCTCATGCTTCTGATAAAATTGTTCAAAAGCCTTTACAGTCTTGAAGAAAAAGTATTAACTGGAAACTTCCTGGATTTCCCAATCCCACTGTGACAGCGGGCCCAGAACAAGCCAGAACTGAAATCATCCCAGCTCACCCCGAAATCTGATTTCACACTTGCCAGCGTGCAAACTACCAAACGGCTCCCGTTGGGACAGCACGACGAAACAGAGGTGATCAGGCCCTACCTTGTGCGCGTTCTTCAGATGATCGTAATACACTTCTTCAATGGCCTGGAAATATATCACTCCTTTCAACTTCGCTTCGTGCTTATCTGTAGAAAAACACCAGAGAAATGTTTTTTTAAAGAAGTGTCACGTCCATCTGGGAGGGATGAGAAGGCTGGAGCCGTGGATCCCTTCAGGAAATGGCTGAATTCGGTTCTTGGATCGGACGGTTCAGATGGGCCAAACGGCTCTACTTGTTCAATAATAA